CTCTAACTCGGGTGGCCCCTGGGTGTACCCTAAAAAAAAAAAAAAAAAAAAAAAAACAATATATAAACATCTTTAAATATCAGGGTTTCCTTAGTTTATCTAGGAGGAACCTACCCACATTCCATCCGTATTCCATCTTTGTGAAGTAAGTTCTTCTCGAGCAGTTTCTTTCGCGAGCCACTGCACCGTGGAACCGGCTCCCAAGAGGATATTTCCCCGATCACTACAATCTGTTCAAGGCTAGGGATAACCGTTATTTTCTACTCCTTTACAAAGAAATATCCTCGTAGCATAACCTTCTACCTCGGGTGGCTACTGGGTGAGCCGTACCCTAAAAAAAAATCATAATATATTAACTTCTTTAAATATCAGTTCCGTTACTTGATTGAGGCATATTATCCATTTCGTTAGACAGCTGGTTCTATTGTAATATCAAATAGATTTTTCACTGTTAAAGTACTTGCTTAGATTCCTAACTGTTTTTGAAGTAATTATGATAATTCTTTTATTGGGATGAGCTAAATTTATTTATGGATTAGGAGACTTTGTTTTGATTTTATACTTTTTAAAAAACTTTTTGGGTTTTGTGCATTTTGTAAGCTTTTCGTTTAGCATTGTAGGCGGGATATTTACGCCATAAAATTAAGCTGAAAAATTAATTAACCATGCAGTTAAAGTAAACATCAAGAGTTTGCTCTCTCTGCTAATGTAAATTTAATTCATGCGAAACAGTGATTCGTTTTTCTACGGCTTTTCAATCCTTTGCAAGTTTTTTAAAGCCAGAAAATATTTTTAGATAGTCGTTTAGTTTAAATGCCACACGTGATACACGCTTGGGCGATCATGTATCTTTTGATACATAACTGAAAAAGCAGAATTTTTTTTTTTTTTGGCTGCAGTAGGTTGCCATTTATTTCTCCGGAAGACTGGTTGCCAACCAAGGCTAAAGAACACAGTCTACCCTGTTATTTAATCCATAGAGATGGATTCATATGTTTCCTAAAGTTATTTGGGCGTAAGTGAATCTAAGGAACTCAACTGAAATTCGAACCCGGCTCTCCGAGTTCTTATTCCGAATGGATATCCATTAACTCCACAATGCACATCCCGATAGTATTTTAGATAGTAAGTATTTGCTTTTAGATAATAATAGTTGAGTGATACAAGTCTATAAATAAGGGTTTTGGGGTGGATTCATTCTTTTCCCAAAGGTATTTGCGCTTACCGTACGAGAATTGGAACCCTGCTCTTCGATTAAAAATCCCGAGTCATTAACCATTACACCGCCCAAACATCCAAGCTTACAGCACCTGGTATTCGCAAGCGGTCACCCATCTAGGTACTGACTAAGCTCGATGTTGCTTAACTCGGGTGATCATACACACAACCGGCGTCTCAACGTGATATGGTCTTTGGCTATACTGAGCGCAAATCCAAGCGTACAGCACATGGTATTCCTAAGCGGTCACCCATTTAGGTACTGACCAAGCTCGACGTTGCTCAACTTAGTTTATTGTACGAGGACTGGTGTCACAACGTGATATCGTCGTAAACTATACTAGCGCACATCCAGTCTTACTGCACTGGTATTCGCAAGCGGTCACCCATGTAGGTATTGAGCTGGCTCGACGTTGCTTAACCTGGGTGATTATAAGACAACCGTTGTCTTAATGTGATATGGCCGTAAGCTATACTACCCTCACGATCATGCTTACAGCAGCGGGTATTCCAAAGCGGTCACCCACCTAGTTACTGACCAGCTTTGACGTTGCTTAACTTCGGTGATCGTACGGGGGATGGTGCTTCAACATGTGGCCGTAAGCCTGTTCCCTTTAAATATCTTTTACGTCCGGACATCGGTGAAATATTTTCAATATGTTTCCCATAACGTCTCATCTATTTTCTATTCTGCTGTATTCGGATTTACACACACACACGGGCGCGAGCGCGCACACACACACACGCACACACACACACAAAGACATATAAACGTGCACACGCATATATACAATCACTTAATTAATGACACGTAAGTTTTATGCAAATTTCTAATCAAGTAACGACTGGTAACAATTTCAGAAATGCAGGCAATTAAACAGTCATGGGGACCTCCTGAGTTTCATTCCATACGCAACTATTGAGAAGAATGGCATTTTAAGTGATTTTAAAGGCACTATGGTCGCTGCTTCCACACACATTTGTCTGAGTATCTGAAAACTGTTGATGCAAGAATTTCATGCACAATCGTCTCTGCGGTCTGCAGAGAATTTTCAGAAAAAGAAAAGAAAAGAAACAATCCTGTGAGCAGTAACTTGGTGGGTGTTAAAAGGGATCCGAAGAGAATGGACAGACAGGTTCAGTTAATCATGTGTCAGTGTTGGTTAAAAGAAGAATATGGGCCTATAATTTGATAGGGATTGAAAGAATCGTATAAGGGAAAACAAAGATAGATAGATAGATAGATAGATAGATAGATAGATAGATAGATAGGTAGGTAGAT